GAAAGAAAGAAAGAAAGAAAGAAAGAAAGAAAGAAAGAAAGAAAGAAAGAAAGAAAGAAAGAAAGAAAGAAAATGTAATGATTTCAGATTGGGGGTTTCATAAACTTCTGTTAGAACATGGGTTTGCACCCTTAGACCAGATCCCACAGTCAGAATAGGTCAAGCCCTACCTTCCTGCTGCTCTCTGATATAGTTAGAGTCTGTCTGCTATGTGCCCTAACAGCAGCCCTGATTTACAGACCTAATCAACAACTGGCTGTTTGATACCCTCTGTCACTTATGCTATGGTGAACTAAATCACATGACAGGAAACTTCCTTCATGATTGAAAAAAAAAAAGAAATAAAAGGAAGATAGTGGAGAAGATTTACTGTAGATCTGAGGGAGAAATCAGACAGAGGCATCCAGAGGGTCCAGATTGAACATGACCAGAAAACTGAACTCCCCATGTGAGGAGAGGGGAAAGCTAGGAGCTAAGAGTGGGGGCCAAGAGTTCAAGAACCCAAAGGGACCTGTCTAGCCAAAATGACTGTGTTACCTAGGGATGAGCAGCTAGGGGAGGGGCTGGCCAACCCAGTCCCTGGGCTGGAGAATTTATGGAGGGGGTGGGGTGTGCCAGGTACTGGCCTTGCTGAGAGAATGGCAGCCAGTGTCTGCTTTGATATGTTAATAAGCACCTTAGTTAGCCTTCATCTTGAGACCTAGCAGCTAACACCTCCACCACTAAAAGATCTAACAAGTCAGACTTTCTCCTTGCTCTGGGTACCAGCCTGAGACTCCTCAGGGGGAATGCTGGGAGGATTATTCTGCAGGCTGCTCTCTCAAGAGGATCCTCTGTAGACCTTCCATTCCAGTTATGGCGGCTATCTCTCTGTCTCTCTGTCTATGTCACTGTCTCTGTCTCTGTCTCTCTCTAGTCCTTCTTATCTCTGTCTCACACACACAATCCTGCTCTTAATGAAACTCCTCTCTGGGTTGTAATTAAAGCTCCTCTTTCCCTGGAAGCCTCTTCACACCCCATCAAGGGATGAACCTCATAGATGGTATTGTTTCTGTCTTCCTACCAACTGGAGGTCTTCCTACCAACTGGAGGTCTTCCTACCAACTGGAGGTCTTCCTACCAACTGGAGGTGTGATCTCAGCCTTGGGGCCTCCTCATTCTAATAAAGCTCATTGGAGGGAATTGTGTGTCAGTGTCATTTATGGACTAGCCGCTGCTGATCATCTGTTACTACACTGCTGAGTGACAGAGAACAGGTGTTGGAGGGAACCTGCTTCTATATGGGCATTTCCAGTGTGCAGGCAACAAATTGTGTGACTAGATATGAGACCTATTTCAAAGGCTCAAGGCAGGGCAGACAGGGAGCAGAACTCTCCACCTATACACAAATGTATTTATAGCAACCTTCAGTTTCCTTCTTTGAGGAAAACAGAAAATATTAGCACACAGAGGACTAGGGTCACTTGAAGAAATAAACAAAGGGAATAAAGAAAGCTTACCTGGTTCAAATTCCAAGGAATAGGTGATATAACGGAAAGATCCAAGAATCTCCACTATACAACAATATGGACCACTGTCACTCTGAACAACATTCTCTATTGTCAAGGACACGTTTCCTTCTGAAATATGCCCCTTTAGCTGGTATCGGCTGCTCCTCTTATAGGAGACATGGTATCCATTGGTCCTGATAAGTGTTCTAGTACAATGATCATATAGACATTCCCCGAGGCCCCAGCATGCAGTAGTGACTCCCCCATTTGTGGAATAAGTACATGGCAGTGTGACAGGGTGACCCACCACACCTTCCACTACTTTGTAAGAACTGCCAGCAACTGTGATGGAAAAAAGAAGAGAGGGGGAAGAAATGGAGAATTAGTAACCAACATTTTCATAAATGTTCTTCATATTTCTTTTCAGAAAAATTACGGTAGGGGTTATTGAACTGGAATATAATTTAGGGTATTATAAAACTGAGGCAAGTGCTGTTCACTGAACTACAGCCCTAGTGTTGTGAGACCAAAATGAGCCATCTTAGAAATAAGACCAAAATGCATTCAGCCTAAATCTAAGGCCTAAGATTTCTCCTTTTAGGTACAGGGCATGAGTTACTAGAATAGGCCATTAGTTACTGAAACCAGTCTGTCCAGATTCCAGAAACCAGGAAGTGTAAAGTTACAGAGTCCCAAGGTAGTCACAAGGTAATGACTGCTGGACTACGAATGTCCTCTCCCTTGTTTCCAGGGTAACTGACCACAGAAATGTCCCCACCTGAGGGCAGCCAATGAGAAATGGTTGTGGGTAACCACTCCTTTAGAAGTAAGATTGAGCCATGATTTCTAGAAAGCCCCTAGAAGTGATCGAATCAGAATTGTACCCATAACAGCACCCCTAAATGATGTACCCTTGTGGATTTTGCCTTTAAAAACTGAGCTTGCATACAGGGATACTTCCTCCAGCCTCCACTGTGTTGGATCTGTTGGATGAAGTCCCTGCCTAGGCTTGTATATCCTGAATTAAACCTTGCTTCTGCATTCTGGCATGCTCATCTTTGGTGGTACCTCTGGGGGTTGCAATCTGGGCACAACAGTGTGAGGCCCTAGACTTGACTTTACAGGCTCTACATTGGGGAAAGGGCCACCATCTCAGACCACCTGCTGTACTCAGTTCCATGAAGGACCTCAGGAATGTGCCTCTGAAGATAACTACATTATCCTGTTGAGTAGTCTAGATAATCCTATACACTGGGCTGTGGTTCCCCACCAAAAGTCTAACCCAATAATTTCAAATGTGGTTTCAGGTCCAAGGTCTAGACCAATAGTTTCAAAAATTCTCCTTATGTCATATACCTTCTACCCAATCCCAAGTTGCCAATTCCTGGCTTGTGGTTTTTTCCTATAAAAACTCTCTACACCTGGGCTGACCCCACATTTCCTTCCATCTGCCTGGTGGTGGCCCATGTTGCACCTGAGTAAAACCTTATGTGCTTACATCAGAAACCGGCTTCTTGGTGGTCTCTGGGGGTTTTGAGAAACAGGTACAACACTAGCCTTCTTTATCATTTGTATTTTGGTGTGAGTGTGGTGTGTGTGTGTGTGTGTGTGTGTGTGTGTGTGTGTGTGTGTGTGTGTGTGTGTGTTGTTGGAGGGGTTGGAGGGAATGACAACTTAATGTTTGCTGTTATCATTTGGTTTTCTGAGCCAGGATCTCACGTTACAGCCTTGGCTGGCCTGGAACTTGCTACATAAAACAGACTTCAAACTCGCAAAGCTTGGCTGCATCTACCTTTCCAATTCCATGCTTAAATATCCAGTTTTACTATCTGAATTTGAAGACAGTAAACAGTTTCATCTTAGCATATTCTTACTTAGTGTGATTACCTGATGGGTACATTTGTGAACAAAATAACTTGTCTGTTGTATGATATTCACAAGACTTTTCTTCTCTTTTATCTACTTCAGTGAGTGACTTACTTTGGAGACAGACTCATCTATCTCAAAATCAAGATCTCCCACCTTTGACTCCTGAGTTCTGGGATAGTAAACATGTGCCATTGAGACCAGCTCAAATGTTTCATTTCTTTTTAATTTAATACTTTTTATTTCACCGGGCGGTGGTGGCTCATGCCTTTAATCTCAGCACT